ATATATATATATATATATATATGTATGTGTGTATGTATGAAATGTATGTACATTTGATTTGCAACAAAAGTATGGTGCTGCAAGAATTTCGGATCATAAATAAAAATAATATGCTGTTGCAGATAGAAGATGCGATTGTCATTCCTAGGAGGCTTTGCCAAACCTGATCTTGCTGTGCCTCCTCTGTCATCGAGCTGCTCGATGACATTGTGCTATCACTGACAGCGGATGATATCAGTGATCCAGAGAGCGTACCATCCGTCGAGCTTGTCAGTTGTTCATCTTGCTTTTGGTTTATGAATGTTGTAATTTTCGCAACACCGGTTGCCATCTGAGGAGCATTTGATCTTATGATTCCCGTCTGCATCACTGGTAAATATTGCGTTACGTTCGTTGTAGTTACTGGCAGATTTGTTACATTGCCTTGAGTTGGAACATGCTGCGCAGTGGTAACAGAAGTCGACTGTTGCCCCATTACAATGTTAGATATGCTTGGATGATGAACGTGCTGTTGGTTAGTTGGTTGAACCGAGCCACCTGATGTGGCGAAATGCAGTTGAACGGGATGACTTTGTGCTATTTCAAAAGACAATTGCTGATTCACGTTCATCGCTTGAGAGCACGGTACGTGACTCGCAATTCCAGCTTGAATTTGCTGCACGTATACGGGGGCCTGAATCTTCTGAGCTTGCACCACCGTAACTGAAGCCGCTTGCGCCGTGTAAATTGGGTTAGCACCAGTCGCTTGATTTTGCTGATTCGTATATTGCGCCGGGATGTAAGAAACAGGTTGATGAATGGGATTCTGTTTTTGGATGTTTTGCACATTCTGTGACTGTGACATATACATTGGTTGCGTCCCTGGATGGCTAATGTTCGAATAGATTTGTTGATAGTTCTGAGCGTGCATCGGCTGTAGATTTTGTCCTGGAGCCGAAGTGTGCGCTAAATTGCTTCTCGCATTTGGCATGGCAGATCCAACCGATACGTTCACGGGTTTCAAGTCGGAGACGTTTTGGTTCTGGATGTTTTGCGCTCGGAATTTCAGTACCGGCCCGTACAAACATTCCGTATTGGATGCGGGAATGGCAACACCAGTCGAACTAACAATTGGTACACGGGGATATACGACGGCAGTGGCAGGATTCTGTATACAACTAGAATTTTGGCTCACCGGAGCAACACCGAACGTCTGATTCGTATTATTAGCAGAGAACTGGCTAAAATTCGATTGATTTTGATTAGCCAATCCTACGATACTATTCAAGCTACTAGGCCCAAAGTTTCCAGGATTTTCACCGAAATTACCACCTATACTGGGACTCTGGCTAAGATTGCCAATGATGGCAGAACTCTGCGTGAAATTTGCGACAGGCCCGTATATTTCGCCACAGGTGGCTACGCTAGTTGTAACGGGGATAGCATTGGACATTGTGAATTTTTGAACGGGAGAGTACAAGTCTCCAGTAACGTTACCAACAACTTTTGAACTAACCGCGTACAAATTTTGCATCTCTTTAACCTTCTGCTGCTTTCTATTGGCAGCGGGGGACTGAGCTTGTGTCGCGTCTGAAATGTTAAGGCTGGACATGAGAGGCGTGTCAGAGGAATCAAGGGAATCTAAATTAGTGTCGGATAAAGTAGAATCTCCTGAATGAGTATCATGGGAGGCAGAAGGTTCTGAGATGGCTGGATCGAAAAAGGGTAGATCTGAAACTAAGGCGGTAGTTAAGACTTGCTCTTCGTCTTGAAATTGCACGGCTAAGGTATTGAAAGGCGAGGCCGGTGTTGTGTAGACGGAGGGACATACCCCCCTAGTTTGATTATCCTTGAGAAGTTGCGCAAGAACCTCGGGGCTTTGCGCCACGATATATGTCGAAACTGGTGCTGCGGCGGTTAGCTGAGATTGATCCGTCGTGTTTTGCGGTTGCCTCGAAGGTTTCGGTGGCGGTACATCGTCTGCGCCTAAATGACGAAAGATTATCTGCTCCGTGTCCAACAAAGAGTTTCTCGAGCGCTTTAAATAAAATGTTGTTCTTTCTACGTACCCCAAGACATGGCTTGCACTCTTCTGTTTTCCCGTTTCATTGTTTCTTGCTGCTGGTGTTTCTCTTCCAATAAAATTTCACTGCAATATCGTAATCTGATATCTTTAATCTGACAAAAGTTGTCGACAATGAAAATAAGAAAGAAGAACAACCAAGATCTACGTACTGCAAGGTTTCTCTGATTTCTTTGAACGTCGGTCGTTTACTAGGTTCGTAACTCCAGCACTGAGACATCAAAGAATATAATCGTGGAGGGCAATGATTCGGTAATGCAAGCCTTTCCCCGTTTTCTAATTTGCGAATCACTTCGTTATTTTTTACACCTTGAAACGGTTTTACACCTAACATTAAAATTTCCCACATGCACACACCTGAACAAGTAAAACAAGGAAACATTTCATATTATTATCGAATATGAAAGAAACGTAAGTTTTCATTTTAGAAACACTTGCCAAACATCCAAACGTCAGACGATGTTGTAAATCTTCGAAAATTAATACTCTCTGGTGCCATCCATTTAATCGGTAACTTACATCTACTCGCAGTATAATAACTTTGATCTTCCACCCATCTACTAAGACCAAAGTCTGCTAATTTTACGGAATTGTGTGCAGAGACTAGCACGTTCCTTGCAGCAATATCTCTATAAAAAAGTTAATAAATATTTACAATAAATGATCGCCAGTAAATTATATAGTTCTTCAACCATGATTCTTCTTTGTTAATTACCTGTGTACAAATTTTTTGCTCTCAAGATACGATAAGGCAGTGCTCAATTGAAATGTATAAAGTAAAAGAGTGGCGAGATCCAGACGGTGTTTGTTCGACTGTAGATAAGCTCGCATTTCCCCTAATTTGGCTAATTCCATCACTAACCAAATCGGTGCCTCGGAACACACACCTATTAGTCTTATGATATGAGGATGCTCGAATTGTTGCATTATGTCTGGAATTTTACATCAAGCGTTAATCAAGCGTCATCCTCGGTTTTTCACCCCACCGATTGAAGAGTTTTCCTTACAGGCTTCCTCGAGGAATTTTTCCGATGTTGCAAGATCTGCGTCGACTTTACAAGTTTTAACTGCTACAGGTATTACTTGATTGTCCCGTCCTTTGTACGAACCTTTATGTACATTGCCGAACTGTCCCTCTCCAATGATTTCACCTAATTCCACTTGATTCCTAACTATTTCATAGTCTCTCGCTAAAATTATCAACGATCAAAGTTTTGAATTATCTTTTATG